TGTCCATTATGAGAAGCTAATGAAATCAGTTCGGTATTTTTATTTAGACTATTATTATATGTAAGGATACGTTTTACTTAAGAGTACCAGTTACAAGTAGTTTTTTCATGAATTTGTAAAACATTCCTGAACCGTGGTCGTGAAACAATATGCTTTTGGCCCAAATATTTGTATTACTCAGTACATTGTAAGTCTCGTCGTCGAACTAATAACCCCATTCAAGAGAATGAGTCGGAACGGTAATTTTGCGCGAAATATGGGGTAGTCCGTTACTCATACAAGTGTCAGATAAGGATAACGATCATACAAATCGAGGCATCAGTTGAATTCACAATAAGGATACATTTGTGTCTAAGGAAGTTTTGTTGGGAAGACACTTTATCGCAAATATATCAGAAGTACATAAAATACAAATGAGTTAGAAGTAAACAAAAGAGTTATAAATACATTCATGTAGTGATTCTTTTGTAGCGTTTAAATAGTTTCGTCGTTGGTATCGTTTTCATATATAGTACAGAGTTCAAGCAAATCAATACACAGCTCAAATTAAAGTTGTTCTCCTATTTAATTCCTTGTGCCTATAACTTCAACTCCTCCTGAACTATGAATACGAAGCCTGGCTAGGCAAATATAAGCACTTGTAACTGTACAATTTTCTCAGAAAGTTAACTAATCTTCAACTCCATTTGTTTTCAAATGCCAATGAACAGCATTTTTACATTTAAAACAGATGTTATATTTACAAAAACAATAATAAAAGGCCGTGTATATCACGTTCACAGTTTTGTACTCTTAAAATTGCGATCGAAGTTATATGTCCTATTTTAAGTTGAGCATTTTGTAGTATCGTAGAAGTATAGGACAGGGCATTGATTATAATGTTAACCATATAAATTTTGTTGCAAATCGGTGCTCAATTCGTTAGAGTTTTGGTAAAGGTGACGTGTATAGAAAATGAATTTATAAGTTACCGGAAAGGAAGATCAGCAAATAAATATGGCAGTTTGGCATAAGCAATTAGTGAGGACCACAATGAGTCGTTAAATATTACTGCCTTTGGTGACCGAATAAGGGCAGGATGCGAAACAAAACGATTGTTCACGTACTGCGAAATGGTTATTCTAAACGTCACGTATTTATATAGATACAAAACGAAGACATACCATGATCAGATTAATAAACGATAAAACCCAATAGATCAGTTAAAACGCAATATAAAAAAATATATAGATCAGTTAAAACGCAATACAAAAAAATATAGATCAGTTAAAACGCAATATAAAAAAAATATCAGTTAAAACGCAGTATAAAAAAATATATCAGCTAAAACGCTATATCAGTAAAAGTTTTGTGGGGATGATACGAACAATAATCGCGAGTGCACGTTTCGGTTGAAATTCAAAAGGCAGAACATTAATAAGAGTGTATGATTTATATCGACATTCAGCTAAAATAAATTCACGAAAACGGTTCGCATGAAAACATCCGCAACGTCGATAATTATCAGTTGCGATCCGAGCGCGCGAGCGCTAAGCGTGTAAAAAAGTAAAAACAAACATAAAACCAGTTGTATTGTTCCCTCACAAGACGACCTCTGGCCGAGGATGTAATAAGAACACTAGTATTCTTTTCTAATTTTTACTAACACATGTTATATTCGGTTGTTATAGAATATACATTTCTTGATTTAGAATACGCGTTACGGTGACTGCTATCTCTAAAAATTTTAAAAAGTCGAAGTATTTTTGAAAAGTAAAAGGTAGGCGCTTGAAAATTTCACAGAATATTGACGTTATGCGTTGGCCCATAAGTGTGCAAAAGCAAGACTAACTCCGATTTGGCATTTGAACGATATCTTCAAATTCTTTAAAAGCCCAGCATTGGCCACTTTATACAACATGTTTGAAAAAAAACTTAATATTGTTATTGACATGACAGTTGTTAAGATTATACTGGCCTGTCTATCGTGTGTATGTATATCGAAAGTAAATTTTGGTCTTATAATATGAAAAAGAGTAAAAGTAGTTGTTATAAACAATTACTTAATATATACTGCGAGTTTGCAATTACCTTACAAGTATTGTAATTTTAGTTGCTGCAAATAGTACTGTTAGCTCTTCAAATAGATTAAAAAGTAATATTGTTATGCAGTATTTTATTAGAAAGCTATAATTAAAATAGCCAAACCTAACACTACAAGACGTCATTGAACGGAGCCTAAATTATTGCGCTCCTAGTGAAAGTGAACGAGTAATGCTAATAAATATTTTTTATAGAATTACTTTATCATTACTCACGATAAACAAGTGTAATAAATTAATATTACAGTGGTAGAGTATATGCTTTTTTTGTTGGAGTATTAAGTTTTAGTTGAAACCAAACATATAGATATATGAGTGATAAATTATTAATATAACTAAATATATCTATTGAAGACTATATACACAGTTGGTGGATAATAATTTTATTATAAGAGCTTTAATTAACAATTACAGCTATCAAAAAGAATAAATGGTAAAAATACAAATTCAAAAAGTATAAAAACATAAAATATATAGAAAACTATTTACATAAGCCGATGGCCAGTGTCTGTCGTCCACAATATCCAAACAAAATAACTGCATCAAATATTGAAATGACGATCCGACTAGACGATTAAAAATTTCAGGTTTGATCCAAATACCACATGACGTCATTTGGACGATATTTGTAGTTCGACGTTTTAAAGACTTTTTGCTGATTAGAGCTGTTTGTTTTGTTTTTATTTTCTTTATACTGTTGTACCACATGTTGTACTGGTAAGTCGTATGTTTTAAATTTAAAATTTCTCCTTTTGGTTATTTTTTGTACTAATGATTGTTAGAAATGTCATTTTGTAGTCGACCGACATAAACGATATTATAATATACAGTTTTTGTAGTAATATAGGTTTGCAAATAAAAAATTTGGTGCGATCTATTTGGCGCAATACGTTATCGTCTCTATTGTCCTATTAACATTTATGCGCACCGTTATCTTCTTAATCAAGCATTTTAAATAGGTAACTATTTTAAAAAATAAAATTAGCATATAGCGAAGATCTCTAAGCTCCACAAAAAAAACGTACTAAACTTCTTTGATATTGTTATGAGTAAGCAATTATACGAAAACCAAATGAGTACTATAAAATGATAGTGTTTTTATTCATTCAAAATAGCAATAAAAAGGTTGCTTTTACTTTTTGTCCGAAATTCGCTTCTTTTCAGCTTCGAAGGCCAGATCAGTAAGCATGATTTGTTGTACAAGCAGCCACAGTCGGCGGGGCGGCATCCCGACACAATTCACATATCCATGCGAGCGAAATTTTAAGTAAAACTTTTACTTATATCACACACACAGACACATTCCATTATTCCCAAACGTATATTGGAAACACTGTTTTAGAAGAAACCGATAAAACACTTTAGTTGTAGAAACACAATAAAAAACTTGTAATAATGAAATCGTCCGCAATCCGTGCTCTTTAATTAATCAGTGATTAAAATTCAACATGTCCTAACGAACAATTCTGTTTGTCAAAGATAAGAAAGATGTAGATAATGGATAGTGATAACTGGTAGCACTTCATACGTTTTGACACGTTTTCGAATGTGATTTAAACTATGTTTGATTTGTATTTGAAAACACAATTGATGTTATGTAACTGATCGATTGCAACAAAGATATATATCGCTTAGTTTCATCACTGGAAAAACAAAACAAAAATAAGAAAGCGATTCGATATTTCATAAAGTTATTATTAACAGAGAATTGCGAAAAATGTTGGATATCATTTGTTAATAGAGGAATTAAAAAGATTTTTGAGAAAATAAACAAAAGTTGGAATACAAAACAAGAAAATATCTCGATGTGAACACTTTGTTTCTTCTTAGAGTGGGTACACTCAATCCTCACAATAGCGATGTTGATGAACGTTAGCACAACACTTGTGTTTTCAGAAAGAACCTTGTAAACGCTAAATAGGATTACTACATCAACAAAGTTACCTTTTTGAAATGTTTCTAAAAAGTGACTTTTGAAATTTTCATATCTCAATCCATTAGAAGTTATCATTGTTTTAATCATGTATATATTGTTGTACCGGCAATTAGATTAATCCTTGATTAAAATATTGACACATATTCAGATTTATGTAGGTTTTACGAATCACAATAAAAAGTATTAAATAATTTAGTGATTAATAAGATAACTTTGTTGTGATTGATATTGTGAGAAATTTCTTATTTATAGTATAAAGGAGAATTACTGTTTGTTTACTTTTAAAATAGATAATTATTAATTGCCTAAGTACCGTTTTAATAAAGTCACAACATCATTCATTTTAAACTAACGATTATTCAAGTCTTAATTATTCATCAGGGACGATCGGAAGCACGCAAAGTATCACGAACAAAGATACTTCCAACATTCAAAGCACAATTACTTCCGATTGTATAGTAGTTAAAATTTCGGAGCGTCACCTTCACGACGCGAACTTCCTGAGATGGTTTCCAACGAAAACCGGCGAGGAAGACAACGACCGGTGCAGCGACCGACCGAGTACAAGTAGCCTTGGACGCGAGCACTCTGCATTCTAATCGGACGGCCTTGCGGAAGTGCGTGCCTCTGAACCGCTCTCGTAACATGCCTCAATCGGCAACCGGGCTTATCAATACACCACCATCTCGGTTAACATGTAGCATAAACTACAATCAACTTTGACGACAATGAAATAAACTGACATAAGTCGTATAAAAGAAGTAAATTTTAAAATAGTTTTGGTTTGTTCTCAAAGAAAGATTAAAAGCTCTAGTATGATAGCATTCTATATCACTAGATTAGTACAAAGCATTTCATAGACTGGTTATCAGCTGGTAACCAGTTATACGATGAACGAGTCGGTAAGTAGACCAAATGTTGCATCGGCGCATCGACTTATCATAAAATAAAAAGTTAAATATAGTTTTTAATTTATTACTCACGGCATAGTGTTGAGCTTCATGTAGGTATCAAGAGGTAGATCAACACTTTTGTTCTGGTTGATGGCCGTCCCAGATAGTCGGCGTCCTGTTCTCATCCAACTACCTCTTTGTCTCCTTAATCCTTTGTCGCTTTTCAGTATTTGTAAATGACGTTTAACAATATCGTGCCACTTCCATTTGACTGTAGCGGGTGAATCACTAGCAGCATCTTCTTTACATATTTGTAAACTATCACTGAACCTTCGCATATTTTGAAGATAAACTTCATTTGATTTTGGTGGAAGACTTTTTCTTCTTTCATCGGCAACGATTCCTGACTCATGAGAATTTTGTTCCGCTATCCATTTAGTTATAAAATCATTTTTATCACAGACTTGCGTAATAACTGGCTCTTCTTTGGGCTGTGGCGGTATCCAATCGAGACTCAACCATTGACTAGATTTTGGTTTAGATTTAAATATAACATCTATTTCGTCATCACAGTCTGAGGAGCCAATCGAACATACCGAAGTTTTTTTTCTTGGAAATCGCGAGCGAATAGACCTACAAGCTGGTGATGAATCGGGGCTAATACCACTGTCTGTAGCTTCTTTTCTCACATCCGGCAAACTCTTAATACAATCAATATTAACGTAAGAGTTTTCGGAGCACGAAGAATCGACACTGATCCTAGGAGTATTTCTATATCCTAACTTAGGTCTAACAATAACTTCTTCGGAACAATTGTTGACTGTTCCACCGCCAGTTTCGCGTTCATTTGTTAAAGAGATTCTTCTCTCATTAGAAATTTCATTTTCCATTTCTATTATTTTAGTCATACTAGGAAACGAATCTTGTTTCTCTAATTCTATAATTCTAGAAAATTTTTGGTGACTGTCTTTATCTTTTTCTTTATTGCACTCGGTGGTGAAAAATGTGTTATCGTCATTTAATTCAATAATTCTTGTTATTCTTTGTAAAGGTTCAGTTTCATTGTCTATGTGCATAGGCGAAGATGGTGTACTATCATTTTCAAATTCGATTATCCTAGTTATCCTTTGCAGAGGTTCATTTTCAATCTCTGTATCCAATACCTTAGGATTTATATCGTCTAAATCAATTATCCTTGTTATTCTCTGAGTGCATCTAGCATCCATCCCTTGTGACATGTTGTCATCAGACTCCTTCAGTTCAGAAATATGTGATTTATTATCTACTTCTAAGAATGTTTTGGTCGTTGTAGGTGAAGTACAATGTTCAAATAATAACTTATCATCTAATGAGTTACTGCGATTCTTCGCCTTTTGTAAAGCACTTTCGGATAGAAATACGCACGGCACTTCAACTTGCATTGACAATTTACGTCGTCGAGTTGAGTCCTCCTTTTCTTGGTTAATATTATTATCAACATCTTCACTGACAGCCGTGTGTGGCAAGACGATAGGAGTCCCGGCAACCATACGCAAAAAGTCTGTGACGGCAGCTATGTGTGCGCCCGTTACCACTCCTTGTAACTTTACACCAGAAACTTGATGAGGCACAAGTTGGTTATCTCGTATACACCAAACTACGGGCAGAGGCCCTTCAGACACCATCGTAAATTCGTATCAGACTATAAATTCGTTAATGTTTAATACAATAAATATAAACCGATAATATGCAGTTCTAAATCGTCACTATTTCTACAAATACCGATTCACTGGCTTATTTCCGGGCTACGTCCTACACTTCGAAAACAATAACAATACTTGTAATTAAACACAGAAGTATGTTGTCGGGAAGGCGGCATAGCGTGAGTTCGAACGCTGTCGGTGTGGAGCGCGGGTAGCGTGCGCGTTCCGCGGAGGTCGCGAGAGATAAGGCGGTGAGAGTCGCACGCGCACCACTGCCGCGCGCCGCTCACCCCGCCAACGCGCCGTAGCACCATCTTCGATCATAAATAAATTTACATCCGATGCACTCCACGGTCGAATTATGTAACGGTTGACCCATATTGTTATAATAATATAATTCTTCTGAATTCTTTATATAGTGTGTATTGTGATGATAACTATTAATCTAGATTACATAATAATTAATAATTCACTAAAAACTGCGCAATGTTTGACATAAAGTAGTGAGTGAAGATAAAACATCTTCTTTTGACTGTCTAGACCGAAACTGATGCCAGGTATTCCTTTTTTTGCAATCCGCATCATTTGCATAAAATATGCGAGTGTTCGAATTCACCTTAAATTTGCTACAGTGTGGCGTAACGATGCACAGTGTCGGTCAAAATTAGTAAACTGTTCACTTGCCGCGGACATCGTTTGTAGTAATTATCTGTAATTTAGATTCTTTGTGATTAATAAACAGTTAATAAATACATTTCACAACTTTCATGGTAATAATTCAGTCTCAGTTGTGAAGGAATAACGAATTAAGGTAGAACATTTTGATTTTAGTATGTAGTTAACAATGGCACTGTTGATCGCATACCCACTGTGAAACAATTCAATATGAGTTAACATGTTCCTATTGTTGTTTGAGATTGTGCGCCTGTTTGAGAGATGGGTTGTTAGTCCCTGGTCGACTAGGGTCATCCTGTCGGTTACAGTTATTTTACTTTGTGTTCTTCTTATTGGTGTTAGGGTGGTTCATCTTACTACAGGCCTTCGGCCCTGCATTATTCTAAATACTGTAAGTTTTTCTTTGGTTTTATAATTGTTATACTTTTTCGAACGATTTTGATTTAATATTATTGATATATTTTATTTTCAGAAATATGACTTCTAATTTTATATTAACACTAAACAATCGCTATAAAAACGGAAATTTACAAAAGAATCAATTGTAAATTGAACAGAACCGACTTCAAACTGTAAAAAGTTGATAAACAATATATATTTCAAAAGCGACTTATTCAAGAAACTGCTTTAAGTCGGTTCTAAATTAAAAAAAAAAATATTTTTAATGATATCGATATTTTTTTATATAATAGGTAACACTAAAATAAAAATATGAAATATTTATATAAAAATATGTCCATATAGTGAAAGTCTTAGGGAACGAGATTTATTTGCTCGACATAATTAATTTTTTCCAATAATGTGTGCTCATATTATAAAGAGGAAAGATTTGGCTGCTTGTTTGTTTTCATTTTGGTCAGCTTCGAAACTTTTGGACAGTTTATAAATTTCTTTCATCTATGAGAAGCTACATAATACGCGGGGACATACCTAGGCTATAATTTATTTTATAAAACAGTCGCGCGGCTAAACCGCCAGTTCAATATAAATTGGTTCACAATTCAAGGAATCGTTGAACATACCTACTTACATAAAAAAATACATAGAAAATCCTCCTTTTGGATTTTGAATGAATGCATAGAACTGAATCTGCTATTTTTCGCTGATATAAACATATTTAAACGAGATAATCTCGATTCATTAAACTGTCGAACAAAAAACAAGGATTTTGAACATACATACAACCTCCTTATCGATTTTGAAAAATTATATATAAAGCACAAAAGATACAGAACTGTATTCTTGTTAACTTTAAATAGCAAAATTGTTTTATGAGCACTTTATAAGGATATATTATTTTTTGGAAAATATACCGCTCAGTTATGTGCTTAGAAAGACTCGGCAGAGGGACTTTGTTTTTGCAATGTGTAAGGAAATTGCAGTATGCAAGCGAATGTGTAATGATGCGCTTACACAGTTAGGTATGGCGCCGAGTCTACGATTTTGTAGTGTATCTAGGACGGATGAATCTAATTGATGGAGCAAATCTATCAAGACAGTCGTGTGTTAATGTCACCGCATTCAATTACTTCGTTTAGACAACAATCATTAAAAGTTCATTAGCCTTTGAAAGGGCGCCCTAAAGCAAATGATTAATAAGTATAAAATTGATTATGGGAGCACAAAAGATATAACATTTTCATGATAATTAAGTAATTATACTCTACATTATATTCGTTTTATATAAGAGAAATGCAAAATTTTATTTAAATATAATCGCATTGGAAGAATTGAATAAAAATAAATGACTGATTAAACGAAATAGGTATTAAAGAAAATGGGACATAACTTTTTTACCGAGAAAAAAATAGATATTATCCCTGGTTATGAAAAACAAGAAAATGATAAAAAAAAGATATTATTTTTTGTAAAGCAATAATGACAAAAGTATGAAAAATTTGAAAAAGGATCAGGTTAAGGTAGACACTGCTTGTTTGTGTATTGTGTTTTTAATCATCTACGTAATATTTGTAAGCTGTTTTTAAAAATAATTTTTAAATTAATTTGACATTTAAAATTGTTTATAAATAAGTTTATCAACCAAAGCAATAATAATCGGTCGTAGCGATGTCAGAAACTGAATTCGGATTATGATAACCAACAAAAACAAACACTCGAGGCTCTTTCGGAGAATTACTTTCGGTTTAGCGGAACAACAGGAAAGTCGGAATGCGATATTAATTATGCACCAAAAAAAAGATTATTATCGAATCGCAATAAATAGGATAGATAATATAGGAGCACAGGAGATTAATATAGCCTACATAAAGTTTCGTAAAGATTATTCGGTGAATGTTTACTGCTCAAATTATATTTATAATAATCAAAATATTGATAGATGAATATATCTTCATCGTATATAAGAGCTATCATCGAATACGGAATATTAATTTAATCAAGTTGTTAAATAAATTAAGACAAAGAAAGCTTTATCGTGTTCTTTGTAATAACAATATCGTTAGCGCTTTTACAAAATATAATTAAAAGTTTTAAAGAAAAACAATGCTTAGATCACTATAAATAATAAAACTCTTCTTGGCCATAGACAGATTACCGTACCATAATATTAATAGAGTAGAAAAGGTTATAAATAACTTTATTGCGTTTTCTAACATCCAACAATAGAACAATAATAAAGTTTTGAAATGTTTATAATTTTTTCCGTATTTAATGTTGAGTTAATAATATGTATTAGAACCTAGAACCATTTATATACCATTAGAGCCATTGTATATGGAACGTACAACCATAATTCTAATCCAGCTGTTGAATCCAATTTATTAATAAACCTCTACTAATAATTCCAAATTTATAACTATATGATAACCTGAACATTAATGAAAAATGAAAATACGCTCGCACACGCGCAGTGAATGTTACAAGTATACGAATAAATTCATTAGGTCTACGGTAGCTATGTTGTTGGGTCCGGTGCCCCCTATGTAAGATGGGGGGGTCTTAGAGTTGGTAATCCGTAATTTGAGTCATATGGAGTATTTTCTTTGCGTCAAAAAATATCTTCGGTATCTCAATGTAATACTCTACTCTATTAATATGACCACTCGCCCGATTAGCGAGGGGTTGACTGTTCGATTCCAGCCTAGTATCTGAGTCAGTATTCTTCTAGTACACTCAGGGGCACATTTAACCGTCCACCCATCTTACATCGAATAACTTTTGCTTATATAAACTTAAGCTTTGATTGGAAGGCTTAATTTTATAAGAGAGTATATCTGCAAGAATCGTTGCCGCTAAACCCACGTTAAGTTCACTTCTTTGATTTTTATTTAACAAAACCAGTTTAAGCGAAATTTGATATGAAGAATACATTTGTTTTAACAATACAAGATGCTATTCGACCCTCTGTAAGGTCGAAGAGCGTCTTGTATCGTACAAGAAGGACAAGGTCATAGAAGATGTACACCGATGGACCGATTTCTGTACAAGAAGGCCAAGGTCATAGAAGGTGTACATCAGAGGGAGATGACCGTTACATCATCTCGAACGTTCTTCGATTCACAACAGCATCTGAAGCTCGTAACCGCTTGTTTGAGGTACAAAACGTAAGTGTTAGCCTAAGAAGAATAAGAAGGTTGGCAGAGAGAGATCTGAGAGCATTTCGACTAGTTCGATTTCCACAGCTGACAACAACTCACAGACGAGCACGACTTAGATTTGCTAGAAAACATGTAAACTGGAATTTGGAACAATGGAAGGCAATTATCTTCATTGATGAATCAAGAATCACTGCAAGGGCCAGATACGTCAGAGCTCTATACAAGCTCGCCGCAGTAAAAGTTTTGCTGAATGTGCTGTGGTTGAAACAGTGGGCTAAGAGGTAGATACGATAACGTTGTGAGGTGGCATTTGTTAAGATTCCCGTATACAGTCGGTCGTCTGCGACAGAGGCAGTGTTAATGCTCATAGGTACGTGACAGAAGTCATAGAACCACTTGTGATTCCGTTTGGACTCTTTATTGGCAATACTTTTATATACACGGCAATGCTCGTGAATATACTGCTAGAGTTGTTACTGATTACTTGGACGATGTCAATATTCAGCGATTACCGTGGCCAGCTTCGTTTCCTGATCTGAGCCAATAGAGCATATGTGGGACAACATCAGAAGTCTGATCCAGAGTGCAGCTATTGAACAGTGGGAGAACATTCCTGTAAGCGACATAAAGGCATAATGCACGAGCATCCAAATCAATTGCAAGAGGTCATAAGAGCCAGAGGAGGGAGTATGCATTATTAATTTGAAATTTAGAGCATAAGTTCTTTTCAATAAAGCAAACATTTTTCTCTTAATTAAACCAATTCACAACTATCACATCTATATTTTTATTCACATTATGTCACACAAGGTAATTTAAACACAAAATAAATTAAATTATTATAAAATTTTGTATAAAACTGACAAAACGATTGGGCCGGTTAAATGTGCCTCCGAGTGTATTTCTAAGATAATATGTTAGTACCGTAGTACCTAATACACTTTGCTTTCGTTCTTCCTACGGATGCAATTTTTCTATAGCAAAGCCAAAGTCAGCATGACTAT